AAAAAAAAAAAAAAAAAAAAAAAAAGGTAGAGATCTTTCTGAGTCTCAGCCTTGTTCTCCTGAGATGAGCTCTTACTATGAAGACTGGCAGATATAAAGAGCGTAGGAAGGAGTTGGGGCTGAACAAGGAGGGACTGAGTTTCAGAGCCTGGGCTTTGGCAGAAGTGGTACCATGCTCAGATACAGGAGGAGGCAAAATGGATGGGAAACATTTCCCTCCCCTTCCTGGTAAGGAACTGGACATAGGAGGACACAGCTGTGCTTGATTCCTTTCTGGCCCCTTTCCTGTAATGTCCTCCCACCTCTCAGTATCCCTTCCCCCAGCAGTCACACGCTGACCGACTGCCTCCCCTAAAAGCCTCAGCTGGCTTCCTAGACCTGAGTGCCACATGCTCCTTTCCCTTAGTGTAGTTGATCTCACAGAGATGCTGGGAGAGAGGGAGCTGCCTGGTCTAACGCAAACTAGTGCATAAATGGCTCAACCTCTACCTCAGGGAGATGTATTCATATTTCCCCAAAGAGGATGCTTGTTAGCACATATAGGTCTCTGGAAGAGGGGATGAAAGTGAGAGAAGAAGGAAGGGAGGGGTGGAGGGGGAAGGAATGTATTACTGAAACGAAGGCAGTGTGGTTACTAGCGAACGAAAGCGAGGTGTTCAGCTGGGGATGTCAGAGGCGGACTCTGCCTGGAAATCTGCCCTCTGAGGTTGCTGCTGCCCTTCCTGTATTTCGGAGTCCTCAGCTTCTCTAAAGGTCCAGGCTTTTCCCATTTCTGTTCCTGCAAGGCCTCTAGTCCAAGGGGAGGAGGGGGAGGGGAAGGGTTCCCCAACTGCCATTGTCACAGAGAAGTTGTCACACATCAGGCATCATGTCAGTGGCCTTGTAGATCACAACAGCCTTGCAACTCAGGAACAGAGGAAGGGGTAGGGCATCCACTGTGGGTGCCTTCCCAGTCTATAAATTTGAAACTACTTTTATATTTACCTGGGATATAGGAAAACTCCCTTTACTACAAGATCCTGATGTAGTTCTCTCACCCCTCCGACCCCCACGTTAGCTTTCTGAACTGTGAACCGCATGATCTTTGAGAGGAGAGCAAATCTATCCTGTCACTACAGCTAAGGAGTGACTCCCTGATGAGCAGAGTTTCCTCTCCTGGGGGACGAGTGACAGCAGGATTTCCAGCGAGATCGAAGATCGAGCAGGGTGGGGAGATGCCATGTCCCAGCATGGGCCTTGTGCCCTGAAGCCAGATTTTCAGAAAGCCAGCGATTTGCAGCTCTCTCACAGTGGCCGCCCCCAATTTTAAAAACCTCTTCTAGAATCATCTGCAACCTGATGCCGGTGGCCTTGGCAGAAGATGAGGTCATTTTCTAAAGCACAGAAGCATGACTTAACTTGTAAATCTGAGCCCTGGTGGCACAGGTGTTCCAAGGCCACGAGTCTT